AAATGTAGTGAACACAAATTAATCCATTGACATTATTTTGATTAGAATATGTATTTTTCCACCATTTGCATTTTTATTGTGTACACTGTCTACTGAAATCCTTTATTAATCTATTATAAACCGTCATGGGCTTTCTAAATATTATAGATATTCATCTTTATTCACAATTATGTAAATGCTTCCCAATCCATTGTTCCTATTTTTACATTAATTTTGGCATTTTTGCTGTACAGAAGTTTTAGCTCTTTCACTATTGTCAACTTTGTAGCTACTCTTTGTTATACCTTATTACTGCTATAAGCCAGAAGTGTAATATTCCTCTGTAGATCTGATAAAACCAGAGTGTGCTTTCTACAGCTTTTCTCTGTTTGTTTTTTTCCTAAGTCAACCCATCTGTAATTTTAATAGATGAAGTGAGCTTTTAATCTAAACCCTCTTTTCCAGCTACCCCATTTCTGTGAAGGTGGCTTCCTTCCCCCATGTTGAAATGCTCACTGCCATGTATCCCTTATCATATCATGCCAAGTGTGTTCCTTGGCTCACACTGTGGTCGTCCACCAGCTCTATTTTTTTTTTTTTTTTTGTGCATTTGCTAAACCCACATGGTTTTAGTTTCTTGTTACAGTGGAGGCTATATATTGTAACTTCTGGGTAATGCTGGATCTACAACTTCTCTCTTTCTTTTTTATTAGGTGTTCCCATCTTATTTTTCCTTCATATCGTCTTTAGGATCAGGTTGCTGAATTCAAAAGGAAAATGCTTTTAAAAGAATTTATAACCATATGGAGTTGCATAGGAAGAACACAGAAAGATGTCAAAACACATTACTCCTATGGCCTTGAGCCAAGTCTCTCAGCAGAGTCCCTCAAGGGAACTGACAGCACTTTGAAATCCATGGAAACTCCTTCAACCAATGGAGAACTAAAAAGTGCAAACTGGAATATTGCATCTCTCCCAGAAAATATGTACCAGTGCAACGGCGAGACCTCATCCTGGGCTGGCTTATCTTGATGTAGGTGGTTGGTTCTCAAATCCTTTCATGAGGGGGAAGCCCCCTGTGAGCACATGCACACACATGCACAGCTTTATTCAACATAAACCCCAGAATGGGAGAGAGGTCATGACCGCCATTCAAAACGAGTCTCAGAAGTGACAGGCGTGATCGTTTGCAAGTTAGTTCTTAACCAGGCCAGACCCTCCATCCCCTGTCGCCTCCTCAGGGACCCACAGACTTCTTTCCTGGTGGTAGAACTCCTATGTACATTCTCTGGACCAAGGACATCTGAGCGCTCTTCCACGTGATCACTGTCAAAAGGACGTCCATGCAGAAACCTCAGGGTTCTGCCTCAGGTGACTCTCAGACTTTCTTGGTTCACCTAAAACGACAAGCAGCTTTCACTGGCTTGCCTAGCCATTTGGCCAGCAGGAGCCTTCACTAAAGAGAACAGTTCAGTTGCCTTCTCAATCCCACCAGACAACAGGGATTGTTTTAGCCTCCTAACAGAGAAATATTTTGCGAGAGAAATAGTAGGACTTATGACACGTGATGGAAAGACATACGTGTCACACAAGTCCATGTGGAAAACACATTCTAGGGGAAATGCAAAAACGCACCAAAAGTTGAATCAGACTGATGCACTGTGACTCTGCCCCTCCTAACTTTATGATCTTGGACAAATCAAATAAACCTTCGAAGTCCCACTTATAAGAGAGGAATAAGAATACCATTCAAAGTTGATATGAGCGCTAAATGAAATTATTTATGGAAACTGCCTATGTACCATTATTATTTCAATGTCTAAAAGGACCAAAGAAAATAATATGTTATATGGTTTTAAAGGATGCATGACTCCATCCATAAGTAAGGTCCTCTTTATACCCTTCAAAACTTCTCCCCACTTCCAGGATAAAAGAGAGAATATATACAACAGATATCCTTAATCTTTTGGGGATTATGGACTACTTAGAGAATTTAAAGTATGTTAAGAGTTGCTTTAAAAAAAAAAGGGGGGGGGGCGGGGGGTTCTTTTTCCAAAAGAAGCATGGAAGTCAATATTCTCCAAAAGAAGCATGGAAGTCAATATTCTAATTGTAGAAGTACGTGGATGCCTTGAAGCCCATCTGTGGGCTGCTCCACAGAGCCCAGGCTATGAACTCACACCTTGAGCACTAACCTGCAGGCCTGCCTTCTATCAGCACCAAGAAGTGACTACAGCAGGTCTAGACCTAATTACATCCCAAACCACTGTCCATAGCTGAGGGCTATTCAGTCTACCCACATCCGGACACCCCTCCCATGAGCCAGTATTTCTCCTCACCCCACCCCCCTCACATTAGAGCACAAGTCTGACAAAGTTACCTAGTTCCTTTGTCTACATGGGAAAAAAGCAACAGGATTGAATGCATTCATAAGGTTGCATCATCTCACTGAAGTAATGTCCTCCTTTATGATTTCTGACTAAAATGAACTAAGTCCTTACTACTCACCAGGCAGTGTGCTAAACCCTTGACATGCATTGTCATGTCTTAGAGTGACAGTATGAGGTGGCTTCTGCTATCCCCATTTGGTAGTCAACTGAGTCTTTGATGGTTTAAAAGTCATCTGCTGCAGGTCACCCAGTAAATGGCAGAGGCAGGCTTGGAGTCTGAGCCTCTCCAACCGAAAAGCCCTGTTGTCACTACTCTGCTCTCTGCTCCCATTCCCGGGGGAACTGCAGCTCTCCTGGGACATTTCATGAAACTTGGGGGTCCTTACCTCTTCCCTGTGGGTCCCCAAAGCATTGCTTACCCCATCTTCTTTTAGCTCCCCAGCCCTGAGGAGCCCACTCTAGAAAGATTGCCCTCCACATAGAAGCCACTCTCTACCTGTACCACGCTTCTGTGAATCCATCATGTATCATTCCCAAAGCTGTCAGTGTCCTACTGCCCCGTGAACGGCGGGCATGGTCTTCAAAGCCTCCGTGCCCTCCCCTCTATTAACCTGTTGCTTCCTATTTCAGATCAGAACCAGTCCTTTTGTCATATTTGAGTTTCAAATATCCACCCACCTTCTCAGCTTGCCTGCCCCTGTCCTCTAAGAATCCAGGTCAATCATTTGTGGTGAAAATGTAGCTAGGACCCAGTGGGATGAAAGTGAACAAGACTGTTTCAGTCCCACCCAAATCTTCACGAGCCAAGGCCTCAGTAAGTTTCAATGTGCCTTGAAAATGTGTTTATGTGAAAGTTTCTTGAACATTTAGCATTTTAAAAATACCGGAACAACATATGCTATAGGCACTTTAACAGAATGTTGGGTGGTTTACCAACCTGTCAAGAGTTTAATCAGCTCTGCTCCCAGTCTGACAGTTTTTGTTACACTTACTCTTCCCTTGTCTTCATCGGTGCCATCTGACCCCAGCCCTGACTTCTGGTGGCATCTTCTGTCAACAGATTGACTTTCTTGACCAAGAAAAAGCTCACTGTGTTGAGACACAGTGGCTGTTGAGAAGGGCCACATTACATGACACCAAGGCTCTTCTCTGAAATATACTGAGCCCAAGGGCAGGCATGAGCACACAAAATAGGAGTCAGCACTTCACAAGCAGCCCACCAAGAGAGACGGTACACCCAGCCACGCGCTGCTGGCAGCAGAGGACAGCGCCGAACATGTGGCCTGAGGAGTGGGAGAGCCGGGGATGAATTCTGACTCTGTCACTTACCCACTGCGTGACCCGGGGAAAGTCCCAAATGTGCCATCTGTAAAATGGGAATGACAATAACTCTATCTTATAGGGTCGTTGTCATGGAACACGGGCCATGGTAAGTGCCATGATGAGGTGTGACCCCCTGAGGGGACATAAGGGGAAAGAGGTGGCGCCCATGGGCCATCACCCTGCCAAAGTGGACTGAAACACTGAGCCCCACTAGAAGAACTCAGCCCAGCCTCAGTCTACCCAGAGTGATACCCACCTGAGGGTGCCATCATCCGGGTCCACAGCCTCCTCTAGGTCTTCCCATTCACTCTCACTATCACACGCCTCTTCTGCAGACAAAGACTCTGAGAGAGCACGCCAAGAACAGAACTGAGGTAAGGGAATGGTCCCCGAATCTGCCTCCAAACATTCTTCACAGAGTAGCTGGCCTTCCCATGTAGAACTGATGGTAAGATATGCTTCATTTTCCACAGTGGGAGAAGGGGCTTCGAGTAGATGACCTGTGTCTTCTTCCTTATCATCTGTGTCCAATTCAGGACTAGAAAACAAAAACCCATGCGTCTTCCAGCATTGATAAGAAATTCCTCTCCCCACCTTCTTTCTTTCAAGCTGTTCATCATGACACAGCACAGGAGAGCCAGCCAGGGTCCAAACAGCTCCTGCCAGAGACTGTTCCAAACAGTAAATAAGGCGAGGCTCCTGTCCTTAAGGATCCCCTGTTTTAATGGGAAGAGCGAGCAGGGAACAAATGTTACCATCCTGGGAGAGGGTGCTACGGTAGAGCAGGGGGAGCTCCTGACTGAGTCGGGAGGCCACGGAGGACTTGCCAGAGGACGTGGTATTGAAAACAGAGCTATGACTCTGTTCTAGGACTGACTCTTCATATGGGGAGTCAGGGAGACCTCAGGCAAGCTTATTAACTTCTCTGGGACCTCAGTTTTCTCATCTGAAAAATGGAAAGGTTGAGAAACTTATAAGATTGCTGGGATGCTTAGATTATGTAATTCTGAAGCATCCGTCCATGGCTCCTGGCACAGGGTGAGTCCTCAGTAAATGGGAGGGGCTATCATCGAGAGGATTTAGGATTGTGATTTCTACAGAGGGGTTAGAGGGAAAGGGCCAAAGCAGGAGGCTGGAAGCAACTCAAGCAGGTGACCTTCAAAGCACTTTGTGCAAGTATCAAGTCCTTTTCGGAGTGCTGAGAAAGAGCCTATTTGTAAAGGCAGCCAGCTGGAGTGACATTTAGTCCCCGTGTGACACAGGAGGCAGAAGAGTGGTGAGTGAGGTGCACTGTCTGGTGGTGAAGATGCAGAGACAACAGTGGAAGAACACGCTTTCGGGGGGCTGCCCAAAGGTCACCCCACAGGCTTTCTGTTTAGAAAAAGCAGCGCAGACAGATGGTAGAGCACTTTGTACAGTGCTTCAAGCATGCAGAGAATGGGCTCAGAAAATATCTGTCGAAAGTCCGGTTAGAGAAGATGAGGAGGAAAATCTAAAAGAAATGCATGCAGATATAGCTTTTCATCAAATGCACAAATCCCCATTTATCAGCCCCCTTCCCCACACCCGAAGCAACGGCTTGGCTTTATGACGTGCCATCTGCCCTCCCCTCTCGTCCCTTTCCCGAAATGCCCCTTTTAAACTCAGCTCTGGTGCCTCCCAAGAGCTCCAAGCCCCAGGCGCCCAGAGGGTCGGTCCTCTTCCCCAGTGGAAACTGGAGTGTCTGTCCCCACCTGAGTCTCACGGTCAAAAAGATGTTATTTCTGCTCATGAGACCTACAGGGTATACGTAAGTGTGCGTTTCATGTAAACAGATGTGCACTCACGTGCATAAAAAAGGAGACTGTGTGCCACCAGGACTGAAGAGGAACACTCACTTTAAGAAAGCAATATTTTAAAATCACCAAGCACTTTGAGGGAAAATTGGTTTAAAACCTTAAAGCACTTGACCAAATAGTGTAGAAAATGCATCTTCTTATAAACATGGAAGGGAATACTGTGGAAGTTTTGTCAAAGAACAGGAAATCCAGCCTCTTGCCCAGGCCCACCCTGTGCCCCACCCCACCCCACCCCTGCCCCCAGCAGCAGCCCGCTACTGCGCCCCACCCCCCACAACGGGTAGAGGAGAAGCACATGCCCTGGGCCACCGCAGTGCCTGACTGTTCACACCTGACCTCCCGCCACCATCCTCCTCCAACCTCTCCAACAAGCTCCCTGCATGAGGCGAGGTGTCAGAGAGTCTGAGGGGGCTTGGTGGCCCCAAGGGTGAGCTTGCGGTGTGTCTAAGACATCAAGGAGGGAAGTCCAGTGGACTGTCAAGCTCGCATGACAATCCTGAGCTGAAGATCAGTGTTTAGGAGTTACTGGAGTGGTGTGCCTGGCCATGTGTGGTTGGGGAGGGGGCTGGGGTGCATCTGGGGCTTGGGAGCCTGTAAGTGTGCAGAGCGAAGCCAGCTGAAGCAGCCCAGGCCCCAGTCCTGCCCTAGCTCTGCTCTTAGACTTCCGCCATTCCTGGCCAGGCACCTGCCTCACTCGCTTCCCCCAGGCACGCTCCAGTCACACAGGGGTTCCCTGTGCCCTCCTCTCTGACCAACAGCCCACTCGTCGGGCAGCCTCCGGCCTCGGCCAGCCACACTGATGTCATGGCGGGCATGGCAGCCGCTGTTGGATTAGACCTGTAGCCTCCTACTCACCCTTTGCTATTCCAGGAACAGCGCCCGCCCCAGAAGGTACACAGTAACTTTAGGTTCGTCTCAAGGACTCTGGCTTCATTTTGTATTCTTTCTGACCATGAAGACTTACAACATCACTTTCACTAAATGATAACTGCTGACACTACCTGCATTTTAACTACCTGGATTTAACTATATGTGCTAGGCAAGAAAGAGAGAGAAATAAGCTTATACCATTACCATCGTGCTATGACCAGCTTTCCACTCCATGAGCATAAGCCCGGGAATGAACACACGTGGAGGCCTTGAACCTGCCATCCCCATTCATTCCTATGAGTCCAGCACGTAAAGATAAGCATTGGGCAGACAGCAAGGCCCTCCCCCCGAGGCCCAACCAAAGAAAAAGCCATCTGCTCCCACACCAGGGGAGCAAAGAACATCACGCCTTCCAGAGTGATGTTCAAGGGTAACATGACTTGATGGGATTTTCGCTTCAGACCCTAACTTTAGAAACGAACCTTGCCTAAGATGCGACACCAGCCAAGTGCTAAGCCCCCAATCTGGCAGGCACGCAATTCCAACCCTCCTCTATGAAAATGTACAGTACTGCTTTCTGAGCCTGCTTTATAAGCATCTCCTGAGACACGGCGGAGTCTCCAGATGTGCCGTTGTAAAAGAGAAAAACAAGGAAGGAAAAGTAAAATCCCGTCTTCTCCATGAACACTCTGGGTTTGCTGAGGTGCTAGCAGCTACCTGGCTTTAGGAAGTAGCCACCTGGCAGCTGGTAAATTCTGGCAATCTGCTGGGCATTTTAGTTGAAGGGACCTGTTCTTCAGTGGGCAAGAAAGCGAAAGAAAGTGACTTGTGTTAAGTTCCCATAGTGCACCAGGCGCCATGCGAGGACTCAGCAGGTGTGCTTTCTTTTGACCTGCACAGTGTCCTGCTCTTTGTTGACAGAGAAGCCTCGAGCTCAGAGGAGTCAACGCTCCAGGCACACTTAGTACATGGTAAAGCTGAAACCAAGGCTATATGCTCAAGAAGTCCGTGCTCTTTTGGCTCCAAACTGCAAAAAGAGAGCTTGACTCACAGATGCCAGAAACAAAGAGGTAGTTGCCTGGGACAGCCACCCCACAGCGGAGGGGCAGCTACTTCTAGGAGGAGTCTGCAAAGAGCCACAGTCCCACCAGGAGCTGGGGGAAAGTATCAGGAACTGCTGGGCATGTGCCATGCTTTTCTTCCTATAGGGGACAGTCACTATGTATGCAGCAGAACAAGCAAGTTGTCTTGTTAGAGGGGAAGCTAATATGGTTTGAGTCCTTCCTTCAGAGAGAAAGAAAGGTTCCCGAGTGGGGGGAAGAAAACGTAGCAAAAATGAAGCCAGGAAATGTGAGGAGGCAGAGCGCTGTCATTACCAGGACCGCCACAGGGAGGCCAAGTGCAAGGGGGAGGTGTTGGCCATGGAGGGAGCCGGGACAGAGAAATAGTAAGGCTGCCCGCCTATGGCTCCATGGACCACACTGGCCTGGGTAACAAGCATGGGGCAGCAACCACGACCAACTGAATATCAGAAGCTCCACTGGAATGTTCTGGAGAGCCCTCAGGATTCTTGTGTAACTCTAGGAGAGGCAACCCCCTCCAAAAATGGCATATTTGGGACATCGGGTATACCCTTTCAAGTAGGAACACTGAGCCAAATTTAATTTGATTCAGAAAAATAAAATAATGTGATGTTTCTTGCAAAAATAACGACAAAAAGATAGGAGGAAATAGGCGTTAAAACAGATTTCACCTTAATATAAGGAAACACTTTCTGATCAACAACTACGTGGTGATAAAATGGGCCACTTTAAGAGGTAGCAAGTTTTGCATCCCTGGAGGTATTCAGTCAAAAGCAGGCCCCGTACTCTGGGGATGTTACAGAACAGATTTCAGCATGGGGTATGAGATTGAATTAGATCATTTTTTTATTGAACGACCTTGAGATTCTGTGACTCCATGAATGAAACAGCAACTAAACTAATAACTAGTAAAAAAAAAAAAAAAAAAAAAGAACTATTGTTAATAACTGATAACTATATTAGATTAAAGGCACATGGCAAGTCAAACTCCAGGCTTGGAGTTAAACCCAGGGTCCCTTTACAATCCGATAATCCAACCCTCAGGATTTCTGTCCATCATCCTGAACTATCTGGCAGTAAAACCTTTAAAAATCCAAAAACCTTTGAAAATCTATAAGGAAGTACAGTTCCTTTTATATTTCCTATAAGATCACACTAATAGTTGTCCTTGTATTAACCTCTGGAGGTTCCTTCCTTTATCACGTGACCAAGTATATCAATTACTGCCTAGAACGCAATTGTAAGAAACTATAAATACACTTTTATTTATGCATTTTCAGACAATGAAAATGAATACCACTGATGAATGTGCTTACCCATTCTGTTCTACTTTGCACACTAGTTAGTTTTTGTTTGGCTGGAATGGTATTCTTATAAAGATTGTATCGGAATGCTTTCATATATTTATTTATTTATTTATTTTGAGAGAGAGAGAGAAAGCAGGGGGAGGGGCAGAGGTAGAGGGAGAGAGGATCTCAAGCAGACTCTCCGCTGAACACAGAGCCAGACGTGGGGCTTGATCTCACGACCCTGAGATCATGACCTGAGCCAAAATCAATAGTCAGATGCTTAACCAACTGAGCCCCCTCAAGTGCCCCCTGAATGCTTTTAGGGAATGTACACCTGGCTCCTGTTAGTCACAGATCTCACCTTGCCTAATTGCATTACACGGCTGCTTCATACTTCATGTCACCTACCAGGCCCTATAGATCTGCCCTGCTCAGCCTTCTAGGATGAGCAACAAAGAAGAGTCATTTCACAGCAGTGAGTTTATCCGGTGTCACACACAAACCGTCATTCCTCATTATTTGCCTGCTTTGTCCCCGTGCATCGAGCTAGCACACGCCTCCAAGCAGTACCTCACACTTTCTCAGTATTTGCACCCTGTTCTCTGTTCCTGACAGGTTCCCATGCACCCTGAGTCTATGTGATAAGTACTGTCAAACTGAATCAAAGAGAATGTTTCCCATCAGAACAGGTTGGAAGACTGGAAATACTTGTGGGGAATGAGAACAAAATGAAGGCTACGTTAAAAACGGCTATTAAAATGAACGTTTCGGTCTGGTGTTTAAAGACATAGATTTTTTTTTTAGGCTGGTGTCAACTGTCAAGTATTATATTAGCAATAAAAATGGTGATACATACAAGGGAACTTCTTTCTTACCACAAGACTTTAAAAGGCCCCCAGGGGGGCGGGGAGGCACCTGGGTGGCTAGGTCGGTTAAGCTTCCAACTCTTGATTTTGGCTCAGGTCATGATCTCAAGGTCGTGGGATTGAGCCCCGTGTGGGGCTCTGTGCTCAGTGGGAGTCTGCTTGAGGATTCTCTCTCTCCCTCTCCCTCTGCCCCTCCCTCCCCTGCTCTCTCTCTCTGTCAAATAAATAAATCTTAAAAAAAAAAAAAAAAAACGCCACGCAGGATGTAGCATAAAGGTTCGTATGCTGGGAGAAACACCTGAGGTCTGCCATCTGTAGGTGCCAAGGGTACAGGAGGACCACTGGGTGGGGTTAGCTTTCCCAAAAGCTCATGAACTGTGGTTGCAGCAGCTCCAGACCTTATGCTTCTGTTTCTTCTGCCACACACCCCCCCACACCCCTGTCTAATGCCTAGAATAGTGCTGGACCCAGTAAGCACCTGAACACAGTTATGAACTGCTTGATTGTAATTTCTAGCAATGAAATACATACCAAGTATCTGCAAATGTGGTGATTCTTACCTTTCAAGTCTCCTGATATCACAAACTGAATAGCAGTTTTGCCTCATATCCTTTTCCAAAGAGCTGGCCAATGTTGATGCATCCATTCGTTGTTGAAGTCTGCATAAATGAGGGTGGGAATCCTGAGGATGCATCAAGGAAGTAGCCCAGGGTCTCTCTAGGTCTTTGTCCCATTGTGCCTCCCTGGTGGCTTTTTGGAAAGATTCTGGCCTAAGACCCAGGCTTTCCCCTGGGTCTGGGGAGGCACTGTCCCTCCGGCTGTCCTCATGATCCAGACTGGGGCTCTGCTCTGAGTCTGTGCAAGTTGCCCTGGTGAACTCTTTGTCTGATGAGAGCACGGCTGTCTATTAAAAGAAATGCTAAGGGTTATTAGATCCATGGTGCACACTAAGCAAAATCTAAAATGTGCTTCTTTAAAAAAAAATCATTTTTTTCATGTGATTGTGGGGCAAAGCAGTTAAGAGATGGGCTCTTGGGTCAGTCTCCCTTTGTCAGGACCCCAGCTCCCACTGGGCCCTAGGTGACACCAGTAACCATCTCTGAACCCCTTAGCTTGGGGCATCAGAAAAATAATGTAAGCATTATTTTTTTAATATTTTTAAAACTTAAAAAAATCAAACTCAAGAGCCAAAAAACAAATAATCCAGTCAAGAAATGGGCTGAAGACAAGAACAGACACTTTTCCAAAAAAAGACATCCAGATGGCTAACAGACACGTGAAAAGACGCTCAACATCACTCATCATCAGGGAACTACAAATCAAAACCACAAGGAGATACCACCTCACACCTGTCAGGATGGCTAAAATTAACAACACAAGAAACAACAGGTGTTGGCAAGGATGTGGAGAAAGGGAAACCCTTTTGCACTGTTGGTGGAAATGCAATCTGGTGCAGCCACTGTGGAGAAGAGTATGGAAGTTCCTCAAAATGTTAAAAATAGAGCTACCCTACGACCCAGCAATTGCACTACTAGGTATTTACCCAGAGGATACAAAAATACAGATTCAAAGGGATACATGCACCCCGATGTTTATAGCAGCATTATCGACAATAGTCAAATTATGTAGAGAGCTCAAATGTCCATCAACTGATGAATGGATAAAGATGTGGCATATATAAACAATGGAATATTATTCAGCCATCAAAAAGAATGGACTCTTGCCATTTGCAATGCCATGGATGGAGCTGGAGTATATTATGCTGAGTGAAATAAGTCACTGGGAGAAAGACAAATACCAGGTGATTTCACTCATATGTGGAATTTAAGGAAGAAAACAGATGAACATATGGGAAGGGGGTAAAGAAAAAAAGAAAAGAGGGAAACAAGTCATAAGAGATTTTTAATGACAGAGAACAAACAGAGGATTGATGGAGGGAGGTGGGTGGGGGATGGGCTAGATGGGTGATGGGTATTAAGGAGGGCACTTGCTGTGATGAGCACTGGGTGTTGTATGTAAGTGATGAATCACTGAATTCTACTCCTGAAACCAATATTGCACTGTATGTTAACTACCGAAAATTTAAATTAAAAAAATAGTAAATAAATAAATAAAATTTTAAAAAGAAACTTAAAAAATATGGAAACAAAAGTAACAATGACACTTTGTCTCACTTTCCAGTAAGAACTGAGTTTTGTAAACTCTCGTCTTCATCTGTCCTCATCCATGATGGCTCATTCTCACAGCCCCACTGCCCTTCCCATCCTGATTCCCTGCCCTGGGTCTCCTCCTCACTTATCCAAATATTACTTGATTCACCACAACTGCTTATATCCCTGTTGGGCCTTTTAGGTTCTAATTTTGATGACACACTGGGGCACACTAACACCATGGGAACAAATTTTCTGTAGGAAAAAAAAAAAAAATCTGTGCTTTGTTTATAGCACAACCTTCTGGGTTAGCTGATTCTATGTATTCTTTGTTTTGAGCTATTTCATAAATCTCTATAAACAAATATGTTGTTCTTTGAGATCTCTTTTGAACCAATTTTAACATCTGCCCAGTTCCCTCATTGAATGGGTTAGATGAAATCTTTAACATATATTCATTTTTACATCTATGTGAGAGTCATGAGTTTACTTTTTCCTTAAAATTATCTTTTAGCACTTCCATCCCATGACCTACATGCCTGACGTTGTAGGAACACATGGACTTGAGAGCTAGACAGGGCTGGCCACCCATCCCTGTCCTCACCAAAGCAGAAAAGAAATTGCTACTCGTCCACTCGCCCCAGCGGGCTCCTCACCTTGCTGATTGCCCATTCCTCAAAATGAGGGGGGATATGCTTCCAAATATGCATTTTTTTTTAAGAGAGAGAGAGTGAGCAGGTGGAGGGGCAGAGGGAGAAGGAGAAACAGACTCGCTGCTGAGCAAGGAGCCTGACATGGGGCTCGATCCCAGGACTCTGGGATTATGACCCGAGGCAGACACTCAGCTGACTGAGCCACCCAGGCATCCCCGCAAATATGCACTTTTACTTAACTATAAATCATAAACTCTTATGACTCGACTGATATACAATGCAAATTATAAAGGACATACCAAAAATTAAAATTTGAAGTGGATGGGATAAAAAATAAATAGTAAGAGCAGTTATATTTTCTTATACTACCCCTAGGGAGACCTCCAAAATCTCATGTTCAACCATTCCCCTCCCTCCACCTCATCACCCCCAGTGCTCACTCTACAGCGATCCTTCACCCTCTTCAAGGCTTCCAGTTAATGGTGCCTTGTCACCACCCCGTCCCCCACCCCCACCCTCTTCCTCTGCTAAGAGTCCATGCTTCTGCCCCATAAACACGCACTTAAAAATAAAGAAGACTCCGAGCTCCCATTCTGCATTATGCGCCTCCATTTGCCTCCATTCTGTGCGACACTCAGGGGCCGTATGTGAACTCCAACCCCTAGGGACACCCTATGTGGACTCCGTAGCTGCTTCTAGACACTAATGCCACGTGTATGAGCGCAGGTGTCTAACAGGCATTCAAGACTTCCAGATAATCTTTCTGTACTTCCTTAGTGAAGTCAGTTTCCCATTCTTTCTACCCTCTACATTATTTCTCATCTCTCTCCTCAGCCACTCCCCTGAACTTGCCTCTTACTTCACAGTGAAAATGGGCACATCCAGATGAGAATCCTTCATCTCCCCATGGCAAAGTCTACCAACCAGCCCGCATCCCTCTCCCAACCTCCTCCAAATACCAGCCACTCCTTTCTCAGCTCCTCAAATGCACGCTTATCCTCATTATTTCTGTCCGTGTCTCCCCGCTTCTCCCTGCACACACTCCACCCAGGCTTCTGTCTCCATCATCCAACTGAAGGAGTTCTGCTCAGGGTCTCCAGTGACCTACATCTTTCTAAGCCAAGGACAATTCTCTCTCCTCGTCTCATTCTACCTCTCAGTAGCATGCAACATAATTGGTTTCTTCCTCCTTCTTGAGAGCATCCTTTACTCACTTATTCTACTTGAATGTGTTCACTCTGAACTTAGCCCTCCCTCGTTTTCCCACCATCTCCCAGGCCCCTCCTGCTGTGTCATTTCTTTGAACTGGACCTTTCAGTGTTGGGGGGTCCCACGGCTTACTTCTCTGCACTCTTTCCCAAGGTGATCTCATCCATTTCATAGCTTTAAATAATGTTATTTGCTGACAGCTCCCAAATCCACCTTTTCCAGTCCTGATATCATGCCAATTCTCCACAAACACCTGCCTAATTGACATCTCCACTGGCTATGCCATAGACATTTCAGTTTTGCTTACTCCCAAGAACTATCGCTTCTCTTCCATGTACTTTAAACTGCACTCTCCAAGCACTCCCTGTCTTGGCAAGTAGTATCAGCATTCAATCAGTTGTTCAAGCCAAACTTTGCTCTCTTTCCATGTGACCATATCTAAGCCAAAACTAATCCTTTGGGCTCTACCTCCTACATCTGACTACTTCTTACCAACTATTCGGCTACAACCTGAGTCCAAGCCACAGTGGTTTCTTTGAATGACTGCTGGCTTATCTGCTCCAGTCCATCTCCGGCTCAGTGGTCTTTCTAAAGTATAGACCAGATGAGGGTATGCTCCTGCCTAACCCTTCACTCTCCCACCACTTCCAGCCCAGGGGCTTCCCATTGCCGCCAAGATGGAATCAGCACATTGCCAACATCTACAAGGCGCTACATGATGTGGCCCGTGCCTCCCTCTACAGCTTCTCCCCTTCCACGCCTGTTGTATTCTTGTCCCTCGAACATCTAGGTTCATTCCTGTCTCAGAGCCTTCACACTTGCTATTGCTTCTGCCTGGAATGATCGTCTTACTCCAGATGTTTGTACGGCTGCCTCCTTTCCATGACCACTTTATTCTAGTTAGGAATTAAAGGCTCCCTTCCTTGGTCTTCTATCTGACCTCTGAAGCCACATGAATGAATGAAAATTTCTCTTCCACTTGGCCCTCAAGTATAAACTGAGAGAAAGCATGCCCACCATGCCTCACTCCAAGCCCTCCCATTGGACTTTTCTGGGCCCTCCTAAGTAGAGCCATTCTCCAGAACAGAAGGACCACTTTTTCCTGGCATTTCCTAGATATCTCAACAAAAGCACAGGGCACAAGCCCCACGGCCTGATCTCCATGCATGTGAAGCTTGACCTTCTCGCACCCCAGTCAGTTGCTCAACACAACTGCCATGTCTACCTTCTTTTCCAAACTGGCAGCTTTCTGATTTCCTTTCCCTGGCAATTTTCTCACAAAGTCTGTGTCAAATGACCTCTTGGAGTCCAAGAATCAGAAGGATCTGGATCACAAAATCTTCTGTGATGTCTCTAGTGATTGTCACCCCCAGGGATGAGCGATCGACTCTATCCACATCTTATACATGAGAAATCACAAGGCCTAGAGAAGTCAGGCACTTGCCGGAGGTCCACACAGCTGGTGCATGGCGGAGCAGGTGCAGCTGACTGCAGGGTACCCACACAGACGCCTCCCCAGGATGAAGGCCCATCCCCCAGCTGCCCGGAGTGCTGGTTACTGACAGCTCACAGCTAGCCCTTCCCCAAGAATCCTGCTCAGCTCAGCTCAAGGGAGCTGTCTCAGGCAACGTCCGGCCCCCTCCCTTGGGGCAGCCCACACCGCAGTGCTGGTTGATACAAAGTGCAAAAGCACAGACTCTCTTGCCACCCCAGCTCCAAAGCTCCCGGCGGCGTAAGCAGAGGCCCCTGCTGCAGCTGCACCTCGTTAACTTCTCCTTCCACCTGGCCCTGCCTCCCTCCCCCTCACGGGGCTTGTTCCCAAGAGCAGGCCCCATAAACCTCTGGCACTCAAATCTCCGCTACAGCGTCTGCGTCCCGGGACCCAACCAGTGGCATTATGACAATTAATTTTATCTGTCAACTTGGCCAGGCCACAGTGCCCAGATGTGTGGTCAAACACTAGCCTAGATGTTTCTGTGAAGGCATTTTTTAGATAAGATTTGCATTGAAATCAGCAGACTTTGAGTAAAGCAGATGACCCTCCATGATGTGGGTGGGCCACATTCAATCGGTTGAGTGACGTAGGAGAAAAAGACTGAGATCCCCAAGGAAGAAGGAATTCTGCCTCCAGTCTGCCTTCGGACACAAGCTGCACCGTGGACCCCTCCCTAGGTTTCCAGCCTGCCAGCCTACTCTGCAGAATTTAGACTGGCCAGCCCCCACAATCATGTGAGCCCGTATCCTAACCTCCCCTCCCACCTACATACCCCTACACATACACACCCTATTGATTCTATTTCACTGGACACACTAATATAAGTATCAAGGCAAAAATTCTTAATTTTCCCGATCTCATTGCCTCTTCTTTGGACTAAACCATACATGTCTAATTCATACTTTAGGGAAGTGGATACATATCCTGTTCTCCATTTCATTCCTCAGAATGGAAATTCTTACCTTTCCTCCGTCTGATTTTGTATTATTATTCTTGCTCCTGGATTCCCCTCTCTGATGCTTGGGCCACCAGAAGGCCTGAGTCTAGAAGTTTCACAGACAAGATCTAAACATATAACTACCTACAGGAAGATGCAAACATTGTAGAGGCAGAGTAGGGAGGGCAAGGAGAAGACAGACATGAGATCTCATGAACTTGTCACAGACTAATTGAGGCTTGGAGACCAGCTATTTCCCCGCCCCGGTGGAAGAAGATGGCATTGAACCCTACCTAAAACAAAGTTGGGTTTCTCAGGACCCACCAGACAAGAAAAGGGGTGCTTGAAGGCACCAGAGGGCACCGCAGCTTACCTGCCATCCCTCGTCTACCTCAGGCAGTGCACCTGGAGGGGGTCGGCAAAGTAGAAGCGTGACTTCCTGTGAGGCCCCTCGCAGTAAATGGAGCACCTCCTATGAGAAACCAGAATCTGTGGTTGGATGTGGGCGTGGCATGGCTGTGGCATCTCCTCCTAGGTGCTCCCCACTACCTCTCTGGCACTGTTCCCTTGATCTGTTTCTCGGCTCTAGAGAACTCTGGAGAACACTGCTATGGGCCTGATTTCCTAAAGTGAGAGACGCCAAAGCCACCGGCCTGGGGTCCCCATGAAGGCAATGCCCCCATGCTGGGCTGTTAGTGGCCACGGTCTGCCCAGGATCTTTTCATGGCAGCACTTGCCAATACAGATGCGTGCTCTTCACTGAGAGAATGTCTTCATCATCTCAACCTCCCTCTCCTCTCCCCAGCCCCCCATCTCAGGGGCCATCGGTCACGTACGCTCCACCACCCCGATCTCTAAAGGGCACTCGGGACCTCTCACCTGTGCCATCGCAGTGCCCTCCTCTGCTCCCTTCCTCCTCCAGTGTCACCCACCTCCCCTCCTCCATCGTGATCAAGAGCGCTCTTTCTACAAGGCAGATATGACCAAGTCATCTCACATTCAACAAGCTCTGCAGGGCAGCACGCAGGATCTGTTCTTACCTGCCACTGCCTTGCTTAGCCCACTCTCTCTCCCACCTGCTCCCGCTGCTCCCACAACCTAAGCTCCGACTATGCTGAGCCTCTTCCTCCAACACTCTGTCTCAGAGCCCAGGGCTTCAAGGTGCCTTGAGAGTTCCTATTTCCTATCTAAGCCAGAATTTCTCAACGTCTCCTTAGTACTGACATTTTAGGCGGGATAACTCTCCGTTGTGGGGGCTGTCCTGTTCGTTGTAGAATGTTGAGCGGCATCTCTGGTCTTTGCCCACTTGATGCCAGTGGCACCTGCCAGTTGTGACAACCATAAATGTATATGAACTTTGCCAAATGTCCCCGGAACGGTAATATCATTCCAACTCGACAACCGCTGATCCGGACGCCACTTAATACCCGCCTTAGCAGCAATGGACTTCCACAGAACATGCTTCCTTCCTCAGTTCCCTGCGGCAAGCACTTTCTTTTCCCCCAGTTCCCTGGGGCAAGCATTTTTGTTTCTCGTGACACTTGTTTTCCACAGTCAGTTCTGTTTTCTTGTTTGTCCCCCCACTACAAGCACTGAGAACATATGAACTGCCTGACTCTGCGTCGTTAGCTCCTCAAAGAGCGGCTGACCCAGCGCTCGTTCTCAGGAAACAGTTCTTGGCTCACAAACTAGACAGATGAAAGTATTGCCACCCCAGCATAGGCTGTCCTGGGGATTCTCCAGCTCTCACCACTCAGTCCAGAGCCACTCCCCACCTTGCTCTGTGTTCCGGAGGTGGGCCTGTACAGACTGGTTCCTGTTGGGCTCAGCCAATGGGAGCATGGGTGGGATCAGAGACAGGAGAGGGAGGTGCTTCCTCTTGGACTCAGCCAATGGGAGCATGGGTAAGGATCAGAGCTGGGAGGAGAGAGGGGTGGGTATTTGTTTTCCCGCCTTCCTCCCCATGGGGTTGTCGCAGAATGGCTGGGTCCCTCAGCAAATGTCACAGTTCATGTCATCAGGTCCACTTCACCAGCTCTCTCAGTTTCCCGGGTTGTATAATTGCTCCTTCCCATATGTCTTTGGACTTGGGAGGGGTGGATGGATAATTGCACCCACTCTTCCCGGCCCCAGGGATCTACACTCTCTCTTGAGCTTCCCAACAACCAGCTCACACCTTTATTAAACTCTCCTCAAATGACTCAATTTCCAGCCAGGACCCTGACTGATATGCACAGTATTCCACTGAGATTATGGTATATGTGTTGAGAAGTGTCCACATTTTTTTTAAGTTGGCTCCACACCCAATGTGGAGCCCAGTGCAGGGCTTCAGCTCACAACCCTGAGATCAAGATCTGAGCTGAGATCAAGAGTCAGATGCTTAACCGAATGAGCCACCCAGGCGCCAGGAGAAGTGTCCACTTTTTACCCTTTTTAAATTTCATTTTTGAATATATACAGGACAACTGATGCAACACTGCATGTCAACATCTGTAAATTTAATAGAGAAATGGGAAGAAGGGCAGAAAGGGACCCACTGCAGTCTCTTCAGCCCACATACCCACCTCCTAGAATGTTAGGAGAGCTTTAGCCAGCACAGAGCCAGGGTTTTATCTTCAGTTTCATTATAAACCTAATTAGAAGCAAGGCTTATTCAAGGTCAGATATTCAAGAACTGAGACAGAAAATTAAATGTGAGAATGGTCCACCCATTGCTCTCTTTGTATGATCCAGGTTCTAGGTGTGACTTTCAAGAACCCAGAGCATTCCTTATGGTGGGTGGGCCTGAAAGAAACATGGCTGATATCTGTACACACGGGGTTGCATGGTCTCCTACCTGGAAGACGAGGCCTTCTGTGGGCCTTCCATTCACAGCCAGGATAATGTCACCTGCTGCAATGGCCCCATTCTCCTCAGCTGGCTGCCCTGGGAAGAGTCTCTTAATTCTCACAATATCATTCTTGAGATGGCTGCAGCTTTCTTTCTCCATCTGCACGAAGCTGAATCCCAAACCACTGGCATTTTTTTTCAGAGTGACTTCAAACCTAGGACCTGTATTGTGGGATGTGGACAAGATAAATCCCTTAGTAGATTCTGAATGAAATTGACTGGCCTTAAAACGTAAGCTGTCAAGTAGATGAATTATTTCTGTTTTACACGAAAAGATTTCATTTTGCTAATTTTTATGAGAGAGTCCTTTATACTTATTATAGATCAGTGCTGCCCAGTGGAAATATAAGGTGAGCTGCAAATGTGAACCACGTGTGTAATTTCAGTTCTCAAATAACTACATTTTAAAAAGTAAGAGGAAACAGGTAAAATAAACTTAATCATATAGTGCATGTAACCCAATATATCTACAATATGACCATTTCAACATGTAGTCAATATAAAAAGAGTGTTAATGAGATATTTTGCATCCTTCTTATGTACTAAGTCTTCAAAAATCAAATATGGATTTTATCAATTTAGATTGGCTATATTTCAAGTACTCAATAGCCACATGTGGCCAGTAGCTACCATACTGGACAAAAGAATTATAGATAATCAACAAGGTTTATATGTAAAGATATAGTTTATAGACATACACAATATGCCTATATCACTTAATAAAACTTATATCATATATATTCCTATTACTCCTTTAGAACCTCAATCATCTTTAGTATATTTGAAACAAAATTTTGCATAATTAGACTCTGGAGAAAATTCTGGTAAATTCTATGGAAATGTTTTCTTTAGCCATGTGGACGGTCCATAAGACAAAACAGCTGCCTCTGGGCAGCAAAGATGGACACAGCTCCGGGAACCTCGTTAGTCTAACAGCCAGAGGCCTTTGGGTCTCTCCTAGCCTGCCTTCCACTCAGTTGGCAATGAATCAAAAGACAGAGCACTGACTCATAAACCTTAATTTGGGACAAGGATGAAAGCATCTGAAGCTTTTAGTTGCCGGTGTATCATATGACCAATTTCACCATCACTGCCATGAGACCCCCTCACCTCATTTGATAGTGAGTCTGTCGAAGGGCCTCACTGGAGTGAGCAGAGGAGCAATCAAAGAGGAAGCAGACTCGTCTTACGCATGCGTGTTCCCTTCCTCCCAACCCCATCGCTCACTACGGCTACCGTGCATCCAACCTGACTCACACCTTCAGGAAAATCTCTAAAAACGGATTGAAAAGTGGCTAAGCTCCAAATCATGAAATGCTAAAGGAGTACATGTTTTCCTAGCAGGAAACAAAATCACAGGGCAGTGCAGAGAGGCAACCCATCGGAAGATATGCCATGATGTCCCTGCAAACTGATGGACATTTACTGTTTTACATGATGCTGATAACAAGGCTAGATTTCTGAGCACCTTCCCCTCCCAGCCTGCCTCAGCATGCCCCAGATCTTTTGCTATGAATGTCTTGGCTAGAAGGTAGAGATTTGGTCAGAAAATGCCTGACCCTTTCATTCCAATTTCATTCCTAAAGATTTATACACAAGTATTCAGGCACCTGATCGAGAAACCTCAGAAGGCACAGGGGAGAATTACGCCTGGCAATCATTTTGGAACAATGCATTTTTTTTTCCAGAAACATATTCCATTATATTGGCTTCCACTGCATCCAAACACCAGCCGCATCATGCTCACAGTCTTCTGTGAAGCCAGAGGAGGCCTTCGTACCTTCCCTTTTGAGTTGAGAATTCAAAGGGAGCACAGGATGACATGACAATAGTAACACTCAATTCTCTCTCCTCTCACCATCTGTCGCTGAGACACAGCCCGCGGGCCTGCCAGGCAAGGCTGTTGCCAAGGAAACAGCCGTGCATTCATCTCCCGTCCTGTCCTTAGCAGAAGGACACTGCTGGGCGGTCCTGGGGCCTCTTCTCTCTAAGACCAGTCTTGCAACCTAGAAGATGGTTGGACAAACTCCATTTGCACTTCATATGGTAACCAGCAGGCTCTCCCCTCACCCTGCAAATGCTTCTCGATTTTCTGATACTTCCAATAGCTGCTTCATTTGAATCTCAAATTAAAATCTCCAATCTAGCCCACTTGTTGGGATCCAGAGCAGTATTTTCAACTGTCTGTCGGACAGGGTTTCTGGGGTAACACGTGTACCTCCATTTCAGTGCATTCAAGGTCAAATTCATCTTCTTCCTCTCTCTCATCTTTACTACCCCCTCCTCGTTCTGCCTAAAACATTCCTCCCCTTGCATCTGCTCTCTCCGAACATGGAACCATCCCTCTACTAACCTCCTGGGGGCCACACCTGCAGGGATCCAGCTTACCCCCTTCTGCCCTCCAAGTGCCCATCTGATTCCTAAGACTTGTCTGTTCACCATCAGAAACATCTCCCCCAGGGCTCCCCCTCCTCCATTTCTTCTCCTGCTGCCAGTGACCAACTGGCCAGTGGCAAACTCCAGCTAACTTGGCTTCCTGGACCCTATCTCCTCCTCCTCAGGTCACTCCCCACCGTGGCTACCCATGGGTTGATCTAAGACACAAACTGAGCATGCAACACTCTTGATCAAAAGTCTCTAGCGTTTCCCATCACCTAGCAGGGTATCCCAGGAAACTATGCCATTCTGGCCTCCCCCTCTCTTTTGGTTTGATTTTCCATCCTTCTTCCCTACACACCCTATACTCTTTTTACACAAAGCATAGTTCAGGGACCAGTGGCTAGACATCACCTGGAAGCCTTTTAGAAATGTCGAGCTTCCATTCAGGGGACTTGGGCCTGCTAACATCCTTCTGCTGCCGTTGTCATTTAGCACCACGCCCATGACCCCAGAGTGACAATTCCTACCTGTCATCACTGCTGCCGGCAGCAGGCAAGAAGTACCTTCTCTAACCACGTTCATTAGCAAAAGTCTGAAGAGCAGAGAGTGCTAATAAATTACGACTCTGTTCTCAAGACAGGTCAACCAAGGTAGCCAGCAAAAGTAAATTTCACTGCAAACCAGAAGACTGCTTCGGGAAAGGAAGCAAACAGGGGCCCTTCTGCTCCCTCAGTGTGCCAGAAGGGCCCACAGGAGTCCTTTCCGTCTCTGCCAGCTCCCCAGTTACCTAGAGGGCAATGCCGGCTCTGAGGCTTAGGACACTGAGGCACAAAAAGGCTCCCACCCTCAGGCAGAGGACTGAACACAGCATGGTAACATCCAGATGCTGCCTGGGCCCTACACAGAATAAGGAGTCCATAACAGGTCAGTGCCTTCAGCTCTGGGTGTCTGGAATTTCTACTTCCCTGTGATCAGAATCCCAGGACAGCGTGGCCTGAATTTACCTAGGTTGATGGGAATAGCATGAACCGGGGAGAGGGTGTCAGCAAGTGCAAAAGCCAGCTGGTGACAGGGCCGGAGGGCAGATGGAAGCATCAGCCAGTTTGGGCTGGAGCAGAAGGTGTGAGGGGGCAACCAGAGCCAGAGTCAAGCAGGAGAAGTCATCCACCACATCAGCCCTATTTGGCTGTCTGATTCCAGAATCGAGGCAAGTAAAAAGCCAGCTTTTCAAGGTTCTTTGCAGGGGGTGAGGTATTCTGCTTGGGAAACCTGTCTGCTTCCTCCTGACTTTCACATCACCATAGAAAAGTGAAAAAGTGAAAGAGAGAAGACAAAGAAGAAAGTCTTGTTTTGTTTCCTGCCTGTCCACCTCCCACCCAGAGGCAACCGCAGCTTCTGATGCTGTCCAAGAAAGCTCTGGAGGACAGAAAGACAACTCCCTGCTAGTGGGGCGCTCACCTGCCCAGAACCCTTGAGGTACTGCACAGCCTGCTTGTGGGTGAGGCCGCACAGACTCACTCCATCCACCTGCAGGAGCCGGTCACCTGGGAGGGGGACAGAGGTCATGTCTTCGAGCTCCCGAGGCTGCAGGAATGACTGTTGCTGGAGGCCCCCGCCCGCACCCTTCACGCAGCCTCAGGGAGGGTCAAGAAGCCGAGCTGTGAGAAGCCCCGACGGGGCTTGGCTGCCAGCCACCTCTCTGAACACCTTCATAGATCAATGATACGGGAATCTTTCTATTATTGGCTCACAGAGGGGTTGAGCCAACTCTGTATAACCGTATCCTTTCTCCTGTTTTCTTGTGAAACCATTTCTGAAAGTACTTTCAAGTCACTTAGGGGTAATATTTATATCTCCAGGATGTTCTTTTTTTATTTCAAAACAGGTCAAAAAGACCTGGTTGATGCCAGGGACAGCAGACTTCTTGGGAAAATAGAGATACCTAAGATCCTGGGTGCCCTTTCTAGCTCAACTTGCCATTTTGGAGAGCAATAAAAATCACCCCCTTGCTTCAGAGCAGGGGACATGAGGAAGGGCGGAGAGAAGGCTTGCCACTGTCCTCCCAGGTGAGGAAACCAAGACCTGGAGAGGCAATCATTTGCATGAAGTCTAGGGTGAGACTGGGGCAAGGCCTGAAGGCTGTAGCTCCCAGACCAGGATCACACCACAGAATGCAGTTCCCAACATGACTCCGTCCCTCACCCCGCAGGATCTGCCCTTCCTTGGCAGCTGGCCCTCCAGGAATGATGGATTTCACGTAGATACCTCCATAGAGCACGGTCGTGTTAATGCCACCCTGGAAAACACAATGTAAGATTCGCCACCCGTCTGCCCCCTCCTGACAGGGCCTCCTCAGCCTCCCGAAGAGGTACCCCTCTGGCTGCCACTCTATCCCATTACCTCATCTCCACGTGACAACATCTTCGATACTCACTTGTTTGTTCAGACTACGCTGTCCACTGTGCCGCAAGCTTAGATGCCCACAAGGAGTATCACAACACAGCTGCAGGAGGGAGCTGTGCTTTGGCCAGCCCAGCGTGGGCCTGCGCCAGGTGCTCAGAAATCCAAACCCGGAATTCACTACACAATGCTCTATAACTGACTTCTTTTCTCTAACTTAACACTAGATTGTGAGCATCCCTCAGGTTACTAGATGAAGATCTAACTTTATCTTTTCTTCTGACTTCTTCGTGCACTTCTCTGCACACATATACGGGTTTTTCCATCAGTGAGATTGTATCATTCTTGTACAGTTTTCTCCTCCCTCCTCCAGGGTCTGCAGCTAGAGCTCAGAAACAAATGCAGAGTGGCCATCCTGAACTCTGGTCTGGCCAAGGTGACTCTGTTCTGCCCTTGGAAGCGGGAACACTAGGCTCCACTGTGACCCTCCTCTGGAGGACCGTGGATCACCTCACGCCCCTTTGGCTTATGGCCCTGCAGTCCCACTCTGCTGCCCTTTCTTTGTTGTGCAGCATAACCACAGAGTGGGGACCCATCACCTAGTCCCACCTACGCTGCTTGGAGCGCCTGATCATCCCAAGTCTGCCCTGCATCTCCCGGTTTGTCTTTCAGTCCTCCCACCTCCCCCCCAACACACACACAGAGGCCCCACTGACTTTCTTGGCTCACCACTTCCCATGTGCTGCTTGTATACAAGGAGCACATTATCAGAGGTTGCCATATGAATGGAATGCCCACCAAGGCTCCAGGTGAACATCTTTTCAACTGTGTACTTCCCAAGCTTGCCTAAAATTCTTACAGTCACACTGAATCCAAGTGTCCCATCTTCTTTAACCAGTTCCACAGAGTAGATTTCACTGGCATTGACTTCTGAAGGTGGTGGAGAACAAGAAGAACCAGCACCCTGTCCCCAAAAAACCAATGAAAACAAAGAAGGCATGAAGACACTTGCCCTACATAAGCAGATACCACCTCTTAGCTCTCACCAGCATTGCACACCAAAAGGGGCGTGAATTTCAGGGCTCAACAGGGATCATTCCCAGCTTTATCAGCTCCTCCCTATGTCACCTTGGGCCGGTCCCTTGGTCTCTCCAGCCTTGGTTTCCCAATCCAGAGAGCTGGAATGAGAGATCCCCTTCTCGATGGGACTGTGAATCATACACAGCACATAGCAGGGCTCAATAAATGTAAGTTCCCTCCTGCTTCCACTCAAGATGCAAATATCATGTGGAGAACTAAAGCCACCCAAGCACTTCCTGGTGACTTCACACATGACACCAGCTAAGTGATGTTGGATCCCAGATACATGGCAGCTTCTTGAGTAGAAGACAACCTCAGGAGGAACTTCAATCATCCCTAGCAAGAGTAGCTGCACTGGGGCTCTACTTAACAGTGGTTGAATGCCGGAAGGAAGGACAGAAGACAAGAATTATCTACCACGTGGCAGAAATTTAGCTCAGTACTATGACAAGACCATGGATGGTTTGTTTATTCATTCATCCAATCATGCAACAACATTAATTGAGCACCTGTTACATGTCAGGCGTTGCGCAAGTTGAGGGGACAGCATTGATAAGACAGACCTGCCCCTACCGAACTACTGTTTAGTAGGGGAGAAGCTTTTAATGAACTGTGCCCAGAAGATGGAGCCACGGGTACTCCCAGCCTTTTGTCTTATCTGCCCCTTCTGCTTAGCTGGTTCGCCATATTGGAAAATACCATTAATACAATAGGAAAATAAACAGGCCAAAGTAAGCTAGAAAATTATCAATCCAACAGAAGAGTTTCCAAAGCGATCAGTATAAAACAGACAAAACTCCAGTTGTTCCAGAGACACTCCAGACTGTGTAGTCTGGCAAGGTGTTTTGTCCAAACTTTAAAATTCAAAGAGTAAAGCAATCACTGAGGTTGAAGTCCAAAGCAAGAGTGCGAACTCAACCACACCACAGAAAGTTACCTGACCACAGAGCTGGCCCCGTGACCCGGAAGAACCTGGCTTGCACAGCGTCTACAGCCTGTGCCATGATCAGCTGTGGCCTTGGAACACCACTGCTCCCTTCAACAGCTCGCAAAAACCAGCCCACAGGTTTGCAGCCTCAGAGGCCCCAACTTGAATCCCTTTTGGCCCTGCTTCCTGTCAAGGAGGGCCCTCTGAAATACAGCCCCAGGGTGAAGGCTTCTGCTCTGGAGTCCCACTTCTTGGATTCAAATCCCAGCTCTGCCTCCTACTCCCTGAGAGACCTTGGGCACATTCCTTTCCCCTCTGTGCCTCAGGTACCCCACCTATAAAAAGGGTTGCTGATGATAATTATGTCATAGGCCTATAATGAAGCTTATGTGATATAACACATGTAGGTACTCAGAGTGCTGCCTGATACATGGTTCCTCCCTCAGTAAATGTCCACTCTTAGGAGTATTCTCTTGCTGACCCCTCATCCAGCTTTTCATGGGGTGCACCATCCAGCTGAGCACCATGGCCAAGTAGGAAGGAGCTAACATTCCTGGAGGCCTACAGCGAGACACTTCTGTCTCCACAGCTCTGTGGACGATGTTACGTCTACTCACAAAGGATAAAAGGAGATGGAGAGAGGTGCGATAACTTGCCTATTTCAATCAGAGTCCCAGCAAGAAAGCAAAGGTTTACAGGCTCAACCCGGGCCGCGGAGGACAGCTTATACCAGGAGGCCTGCTTTCAGAGATGTTGGCACTTAAAGAAACCAATAAGGAGGGCCAGACACCCTGGGGCTAGAAACGGTAGGTGCCGTTCCCTTCTCTAAGCCTGAGGAGCAAAAGGAGGGCATGGCTGATGGAAACTAGAGAATAGTTCTACAGTGAGGAGCATGTGATAGGAGCTGTGCTTTCAGGAGAGGGACATAGCCCACCTGATCACAGGCAGAGAGTGACTCACCCCCAAAGGCTGGCTGCCACCACAGTGTGAAATAATAGCAAATATATATATTGGCCTCTCCTCACTTCCTGGCACAGAGCTCCCTCTACCCTTGTAATTTCCTAAGTCTTAAGGGACTGGGAGCATCTCTTGTTCTAATATCCGGCCTTTGGCTCTAGTTTCTGACACAGAGCTCTCAAAGCCCTTGGAATTTCTTGGGTGATAGTCTTTTGTTCTAAAAAGGCAGCTCTTGGTGGGTTTCTGGATAGCTTCAGGACGGGGGCTAGTTACCAGAAAGACCACGCCATGATTCGAAGTTTGGAACTTGCCACCTCACCCCACGCCCCATCCACTGGGGAGGAGAGAGGAACTGGAGACTGAGTTCATGATCCATCATGCCTAAGTGAGAAAGTCTCCATAAAAATACCAAAAGCATGGGGTCCAGAGAGCTTCTGGGTTGGTGGACACATATATGTGCTGGGAGGATGGCACAGACAGAAGTTCCTGTACTCGGGATGTTCCAGACCTTGCCCTATGCATCTCTTCACTGGCTGTTCACTTGTACCCCTTAAAACATCCTTCGTAATAAATTGGCAGTAACAAGAAAACTGTTGTCCTGGGTTCTTTGAGTTGCTCTAGGAAATTATCAAGCCCAAGGAGGGGACATGGGAACCTCCAATTCGTAGCCAACTTCAGACAAGTGTAGGGAACTTGGAGACCTATTACTTGTGATTGGTATCTCAGATGGAGGCAGTCTTGTGGGACTGAGTCTAGTCCCACAAAACCTGTGGGATCTGGTGCTAACCCCACTCAGTTACTGTCAGAATTGTTTCTGGGGTGAAAAACCACAACAGTGTCAGAAGTGTTGTCCTAGTGGGGTCCTAGTGTGAGAGTAAGGAAAGTGGAGAGTTTTTTCTAGACACGGGGCCTCTCTTGGACAGAGCCATCCAGAAGACAGAAGGCCGACAGGGTCTGTGAAGATCAGCTTCCTGGGGCCCAGAGCAGAAGGGAGAAAGTTCTAGAGGGCAAAAGGAGACCTTTCCACACAGTGTCCAAGGAGACACAGCTTGAGGCGGTGGCCCTGGGACTGAAGTACATAGCCCTCTGTATCCCAAAGCTGGTCTTGTCCTCTTCCTCCCCGGCATTGTCAAGAGCAAAGCCACTGAGGGCCAACTAGAGGCCAAGAATGTCTGTCCCTACATTGCCCTCAGTGGCAGCC